CATCTGAAGATGTTATTGGTTTTTTCCATTTTTCACTGTAATTGTTTCGATTGGCATTAATTTTTATTTTTCGTTTAATACATGTGTGAAACAAAGTAGTATAAATTACTGTGCCAGTGTACCCTCCTTAGGGTGAACAGTGACACAAATGCAACATTTTGAATTTATAATTATAACTAATTTTTGAGTTAATTTATATTAATGTAAATAGTTCGTGGTACTTCTGAAATATTGTAGCATGCCCAAAATCAACCTTGTATGAGAAATGCATTTCTTTTATATATTTAATTGAGCATTTTATAATTTGAGTGCAACTGTACCCTCCTCTCCCCTAAGTATGCTGCCAAAAACTGCGCTTCATTAAGGTTATTATGTTGAGACTTTTTTTCAAAATGTTGACATTAAATCTAAAAAATTTGAAATAAAATGAAATATATTGTGCGCAGTCGTATTTCTTATATAAAAGCAAAAAGAAATATATTTACCCCTAGTATTTTTAGTTATTTGATGATGGTGGTACAACTGAAGTAATAGTATCATCAACTTATCCCAGGGTCCAGCTGGATTCTGCCACCGCTCAGTATCCCAATACTGACCCTGAACCGATGGCTTGACCAATTCCTAAAATTCCAATAAGTAGTAGTATAGTAAGGCCGATCCTGGCTCACTTTACATTGAAAAGTGCCATATGATTGAAGTGTTAGCGTTTCAAGGTCAAAGTGGTGTTGAAGGTCAAAGTGGTATTGCGTAAGTGGGGGGGTGGGTGGATTTCAAGGTCGAGTGTTGAGAAGAAAGGGGTGTATTGTTTGTGTTCTTTGGAGGGGGGTGGTGGTGTCGGTTCAAGGCCGTTGGTAAGAGGGGGTGATGGCTGAGGTCATTGGATTTCAAGGTCGATTGGTGAAAACAAAGGGGTGTATTGTTTGTGTTCTTCGGAGGCTTCAAGGTCATGTGTGGGGATGTGTCTGTCTGAAAGAATGCGTGCCGATGCTGGCTCACTTGAAGGTCAAATCGATTTTGGGTCGAAGCTGAATGCGTGGCGATCCTGGCTCACTTTCAAGGTCGTATCGATGCATTGGTGTTCAAGGTCATGTGGGGGTGTGTCCGTCTGAAAGAATGCGTGCCGATGCTGGCTCACTTGAAGGTCATATCGATTTTGGGTCGAAGCTGAATGCGTGGTGATCCTGGCTCACTTTCAAGGTCGTATCGATCCTGGCCCACTTAGCATTGAAGAATATATGAATAAAGTGTTGGTGTTCAAGGTGAAATTGGTGTGGTGTTGCGTGGTCGTTTCAAGGTTTTTGGATTTCAAGGTCGATTGCTGAGAGTGTTAAGCGGGGTGTATTGTGTGTGATCAAATTGTTTTTCCTGAAGGCGATTGGATTTCAAGGTCGGACGCTGAGAACAAAGGGGGGTTTAATGTTTGTGTTCTTCTGGGGGATGGGGTGCCACTGGCGGTGCCAGTTCAGCGCTGAGAGTGTAAAAAATGGGTTGCGTAATTTTTCGGCTGCCGTCTCAAGATTGAGGGTAAAACGTAATTATTCTTCTTGCCGGCTTCGTATCTCAAAGGCCGAGAGCGCGCCGGGCGTCGAGAGAACAAAGGGTGTATTGTTTGTGGTCAAGGTCAAACGTGGTGCAATTCTTAGGCTATCGAGGGATGGTTTGCGACTTGGAGAGTGGGGGGTGTAATATAAGGTGCTTATTGGAATAGTCATTTGTCCATAATAATAATAATAATAATAATAATAGAGGAGATGTCAAGAGTAATTGTTCATCATCATCATCAGCAGCAGCAGCAGCGGCAGAAACGGAAAAAAAGAATTGACAAGCTGGTAAAGAAAATTAGAAAATTAAAGTGGGATGTGGAAATTTTGGGTTGTCGGCGCAGTATGGAAAAATTGATGTTGGGAGGCCTACTGGCGATTTGTGGTGAATATGTGGCGAACGGCTGTTGAATGCCTTCATCAAACCTTATTGGTATTACTATCTGATGCTGAGCATGAGGCGGTGTATGGACCTGAGACTTTTAGGGAACAGTGTCAAAACATTACCCAAAGGTATGAGTTGGGGATTGAAATATGTAGACGCTTTTTAAATTATAAAATATCCGTTTATTGCCTTATGAACGGACTAAACGAGGCTCAGTTGGGTGAATACATAATATGGTGATGAAGAAAGTGACATTTGACGATAGTAACAATCGCGTGTATGTGCTGATCGCGTGGTCATGTGCATATAATGAAGCGCGAAAAGGGCCTTGGATAGATTTCGCTTTAGTAGGAAAATAGAGCAATTTTGTAAGATATTGTCTCTCGTCTTAGCAGAAAATCATCGATCATCGGTTTATCGCACTAGATTTCATGGTCAACATCAGACCGCAATATAATGGTATATATCGCACTGGATTTCAAGGCCACCATACAGCAATGTAATGGTTTATCGCACTCTAGATTTCAAGGTCATCAGCCAGCAATATAATGGTGGTAGAAAACGGTGCCTGGAATCAGTCGAATAGTGTTGACTAATCAGTTAAAATGGATCTTAATCGACTCAACAGTAGCACCTACTGCAAACCTTTCAAGAACGTCAAGGATATGAAGGTTGGTGAAAAGTATAAAGTGATTGGTATCGATCTAATCAATACCAAGTATGGCGATCGAATACTGATCGATACTGAGAACTTTAAGTGCATCCTTCCTTTGCGCTTTTATGAGTACTTCAAGAGCGACAACTGTCTGCAGATCTTCAAGGACTTCTTGTCCAGGGAAGAAGTCTTTATAACAAGCGCTGGAACGGCGGGGAAGACTACTAATTTAACATTTATGTAAAAAAGTTGTAAATGAGAGAGAGAGAGAGAGAAATAATAAATGTTGTTCACGAGAGAGAAATTGGGTCTCTTATTTAAATGCACATCCCACTCTCGAGATCATCTCAACGAAAAAAAGGCTCCAAAATGTGGTGACGAGGATGAGGGCGACGATGACAACATCTATCGCGATATTGAAGATGTGTTAAACTATAAGTTTAACGTAAATTCTCACAATACAGTTTGCAAGATGGAATTATTATACTATCGACCTACTTATTTTATGTATCACATATGTCAATAAACGTACTCTATTTGAGCATTTTTTTTTATTTGATGGAGGCAACTTCTTGCCACACTTCAACAATGTTGAGTCGGAAGCGGAAGTGTACGGATGGGAGTGGCTTGGTTAATAATCTCATAAACAAACTTCCAGTGGAACTACATATTCCTGGCTATCAGTATTGCGGACCTGGTACTAAATTAGATAAAAGGCTAAAGCGAGGCGATCCCGGCATAAATGCCCTAGACGACATTTTTTTATAATAAACAGCTTTCAAAATAAACAGGCTGTTCCCCCTGTTTGTTTACCTATTCCCTTGATTGCATCATCATGGATACTAAAGAAATGGCCTTGAAACGACGAATAGTTTAAGCGTGTAAAGTATAATCGTCTCAAAGCGGATCGTTTTATTAAAGAAGTGGAGTTTGTACGAACGTATAAATCGCTAATTCAACCGCTATCCCAGATCGTTAAGTAAATCGAACCGCCGCGCCGTTAAGAGTCTTCTTTACCTAAGCGCAACTTTTTTTTACATTATAGTGTATAGATGATTATAGCTGCAAGAGATAAGATGATATTCTTGCTTTGTTAAGTCCTGTCTTGGTCCTTAGTTAGTTCCCACCGACACTGTGCAGCGGCGCCACTTGTTACACTCAAATTGTTGATTTAACGCCCGCCAAGATACAGACTTTATTTACAAAAATTATGACTTCATTTTTTGGGGTCATGTTTAGAAGTAACTTATCTAAAAAACTGTCGGTTTACTTTTTCCATAAATCGTCTTGATCGAGAGTAAAAAAATAAAACAGATTAGCGCAATAATCGGTGCGAAACATCTAATCTTTAAACAATCGGTATTCAGTTGGTATAAACTTAAAAAAAAATAGTCCGAACATTTTGTAGATAAAGGTCTAAATTTATAAAATAGTTCTTAAAAAAATTGTCTTTGAAAAACAACTATAGTTTTTATGGCGGGCGCTCTTATGGAAATTTACATTGGATGCAGTGGGTACAGAAGACTCTTAAGGTCATATCGATTTTGGCTCACTCAAAGCTTAATGCGTGCCGATACTGGCTCACTTTCAAGGCCATGCGGTGTTTGTCTGTCGAGCGGAGTTTGAGAACAAAGGGTGTATTGTTTTCGGGTGATCAAGGCGACTTAAGAATGGGTGTGGTTCAGATTAATATAAGTGTTTGTTGTAATGGGTCTTTGCTCAATAATTTATAATTCTATAATAGGCGAGATGTCAAGAGCCATTGTTCATCATCATCCACAGCAGCAGCAGCAGCAACGGAAAAAAAGAATTGACGAACTGTTACTGAAAATTAGAAAATTAAAGTGGGATGTTGAAATGCTGGGTTGTCAGCGCCGTATGAAAAAACTGATTTTGTAATGATTCATACAGTGGCAGTTAAGGCAAGGATTATTTCTTTGTGTGTGAGGCAATGGCATAAATACGACGACGATGGTTATTTCTTGTGTACCAATTAAGACAATTTGTATGTAAAGTTTGCGAATTAAAAGAATGTATAAAGGGTGCTTATTCATTTTCCCCCGACATCCATCCTTTAGAACCAGCCTCTTTAAAAAAATTTGGGGATTGGTGTTTAATGAACTCTCAATTTTAAAAACGAGTACACTGTACCTACCGTGAATAGACGTTCTGCATGGTATCGCGCATTTGGTAAAAATAGAAAATTATCAGCTCGCATTATGCCGACTTGCGTATGCACTCATTTCATTGCACAGTGATATTCACCGATTCGCGATGTGTTGTGGAAAATAATTTTGGTGTTTCTTTGTGATAATGATTAATTCGGATTAGTATTTTCACTCGAACTCAGGTAGGTACGTAAATATTACATTTCCGTGAATGTTTGTGGCAGATAAACTAAATTAATTAATATCAACAATCGCATTAAATAATCCATGTATTTTCTACAAATTAGGTACATTACATTAATGTTTTACTTATTAATTACAAATGTGAAGTTAAATTTGAAAAGAAAAATTAATTATTTTTTAAAAATTCCATGTAACTTATAATAAATTTCATCTCTCGATGCAGGTTTTCATCTTGAACTCGTGATGCATCCAACTCCCGTTCTAAACGCTCCGTCTGGAGTTGGGAATTTCTTTGTCTGGCCTGGAAAGTTGTCAGCATCTTCTCCAGACACCCCATTGATAACATCGCCAGCTCTTGGGGTGTGGATGGCTCGCGCCATCTGGGCGATTCATGAGATGGCGGCGGTGGTGGTGGCGCCTCTTCTTGGTCGATGGCTGCTGAAGACGGCGGAGAGACGTTTTCATAAAATTCTCTTAGTAATTGCATATCTTTTTCCCCCCTAGGCAACGGGGCACTGTAACAATAAGAAAAACACAGTATTAAAAATAGATTGTATGTATAATAAAAGTAACTTACTGAAAGTGATTGTTGCCGCCGTTATTTACAGGTAGCTGTAGTGGTAAATTTGGTTGTTGTTGTTGTTGAGCTGGATTATTTCTGTAACGTAACATTAGAATAATTAGTATTTTTCATATAAACGGAGGTACAGTAATGAGTAAACTTACGGAAATTGATGCATGCCACCCCATCGAGGATTTGTGGATGTAAAGCTACCATTTTCTGGTGGCTGCGTTTGAGTATTTGCCTGGGGTAGCGGCGCAGGAATTATAATGTGCTCCAATATTTGTACTGATGGATACTGGCTGTAAAAAACATATATGCATTAGAAATTTTATTTTTCGTGAACAATAATTTGTACCTTAACTGTTGTTGTTGTTGCTGTTGTTGTTGCTGGCCATGTCTGGGATCTATCACCGGTGGTCTCATGGGAGGTGGAGGAATCGTTGTAATTGGAGGAGCGTAAACATGATTGAAATTTCCCTCATATTCTTTTAGAAAATCTTCCAGTTCATTTGTGGTGGTGGTGGTGGTAGCTATTGTTCTATAAAAAAAATAAAATAATACCTACAACATTAGTATCTATATGGATGGTGGAGAGCGAGTACTAAATTATTATACAAGTTTACAACTTACCTTTCCCGATGTCCTTCTTCATCTTCCGTGACGAGGTTGATCACATCACCATCGGATAATTTTGTAGGTTTTTCTAAGGCGGTCTTTAAGATTGAGCGTCCACCACCCCCACAGGCATTTATGTAAGGCTTCTTACTCGTTGCACTTTTTTTTAAAGTCAACTTGTTGGCGCGTTTGGTTGAAGACATGACGATAACGTGCAGATTAACACTTGTGCCGCAAAATGTCTACCCCTAGGTATATATGTGGAGGTTTTTGTTGGAGTTAGCAAAAGAGTGATTCTAAAATAACATCAAGGACGTTCTCACACACACATATCAACCATTGTCCCAAATGATACCCGTGAAACACCTGCAACATTGAAGATTCCCAGAAGACGGCAGAGACCATTCACCTCAGTTTAACAATGATAATATTCATTAATGTACTGGGAAGATGAACTTTAAATGAGCTTTAATCCGTGAGATCTCATGACTTCTGTGCATCATTGACGTAGTATCTGTATATCGCATTTCGTCAATTTTGCATAACCCCTAACAAGAAGTGTGGGGTGTGAGTGTCTGGGACAAACGATTATCTATGTAAGATACGATAACGAATTTCCTGCCACTCTTGGAATTTGTCGCAGCACCGTGTTATGGGTAGATATGATGGAAAATGGAATCTGATATTGTTCGACATATTTCAATAATCACTTCTAACAACAATTGAAAAATATCTCGATAAAAAAGGAGGGTGGTGGAATAGATGACATCGAGAAAAAGAGACACTAGGAAATATGTTGTATGGTGAATTACAATAATAAAAAGTAAATATTTAAGTTTTTAGTTATTTATTTATTCAAATCGACACATCATAACCTTATAGAACAACATTATTTTTATCAATCCACGATTTCTCGTCCAGACCCAACCATTTCACGTACACTTTGTCTTTCTTGCGACGCAGGACTTTTTCAACCAAGTATACGTCCGAATACTTGGCCTTCTGCAACTCATGTTCGTAAAATCCACCTAAAATCGGTTTAGCCTTCATGTCTTCCAACAAATACGTGACCGGATTTGTTATTTGTACTTTTATAATTTTGAACAGCTCACTGGACCAATTGGGGGTGTAGCCCTTCGCAAATATGGATTTAAATTTGCTAATTCGAACTACATCGCCGACATTAAAACGGCATTTCTTATTGTTGAAGAGCTTGATGTGGTTGTAGGCGTCCAGCTTTGTATCGGCCTTCACTTCGATCGGTTTCATCCCCGTTGTTCGATGTTTACGATTATTGTACTCGCTCGTGATCGATTCGATTGCATCTATCCATACATATTTTCCGCGTAAACTAAACTGCCGGTACAAGGGGTTTTTTATACTTCTTATAACCCTCTCGGCCAGTGCGGCCTTTTTCGTACTGTACGTGGAATAGTGATTAATGCGTTCTTGCATCATTAATTTGGCGAATGATTTGTTATAGAATTCCTTCCCTGCATCGGTCTGTAGATTTTTCGGTCTGCGTCTCGTAGATTTGAAAATAGCCTGTACGGCTTTTGTCACCTCCTCACCCGTTTTAGTCTTCAACCCTCGCGTCCATAGATATTTTGAAAAACAATCGATAACTACTAATATGTATTTATAGCCTTTATTCTCTTTTGCGTAAGGTATAAATTCGGCTAGATCTGCTTGCCAAAGATCATCGAAGCCTTTAATGATGGTGCGTCTACGAGGGAAGTTTTTGCGCGCCGCTTTGTGTAACTCGTTCACCACCTGCTGCATCCTCTATTAGTTTATGTAAAGTTTCTTTGACCGCTTTCAACTCTTCCTCTAGTACCGCTACGTAATTGCGAAGACTGTCTACGGGCGCTTTCGCAATCTGCATGTATTGTGTGAGGTACCCTTTATTTATGGCATCGCGGTCGTCTACTGGATCGGCGAGGTTCATTAACCGGTTTCCGTTGAGATTTAGTCTTGTTGATAGGTAGTGTTGCAACGTTAGGGCATCGTGACGTTCAATAGGATCCACAACATTACTTAGTCTCTTATTTTCCACATTTATAGTATCGTCGGTAATGGAAAATTGTCTTTAACAGTTTTCCAAATTGAGCATGCGTATGAGAACGTCCGAATTTATCCATGGTGAATGTAGGCAAGAAAGTGTTTATCTGTTTACCTGTTTATCTGTTTACATGTTTATCTGTTTACCTGTTTGTCTGTTTACCTGTTTATCTGTTTACCTGTTTATCTGTTTATCTGTTTACCTGTTTATATGTTTACCTGTTTATCTGTTTACCTGTTTATTTGTTTATCTGCTTACCTGTTTATATCAGAAGCTGTTTATTTTGAAAGCTGTAGATATACTTGATAGCAGTATTTTCCAACTGAAAAATAAACACCTTTTCACGGTAGGTTTTATATAGTGATCGAAACCTTTCCTGAAACGACCGTTTGCACATCCGCATCCTTATTTATAGGGCATTAAGAGAAAGAAGAAATGTTACACTTTTATCGCTTTATTTACTAAACAATTACGACATTGTATAGTTGTTATGTATGTAATACACGTTTGCCAATGCACAATGACATTTTGGATAGGAATGATATAAACAGCTGGCTTCCAATTTAGGTAATGCAGGTTCCTCGTTGATCTCGACGACATCCTGCGATAAGGTTTTTCGTATAAATTCTGCCTTCTCCTTTCCCTTCACATATATAGCCTCCATTGGTGATACTAGCCGGCGAAGTATAATCGGAAATAAGTGGGGCGGTGTATGTCCTTCTTCCCATTTAATACAATGGTGGTTGTGCATCAGCCAGATAGCTTGTCTCTGGTAGTTCACATCTAAACTGCTAAATGAAAATGGAGGTTTGAACACAATATGTGCAACTTGGTGCCCATTAAATACCGCCAACTCCTTTGGCGTAAATGTCGTTGGGGATGTTTTAAATCCTTGAACGTCAATAGCAATAACCATTTTCTGCTACTGATTCACCAAACTGTTTCGAGACCTACGTACTACTGGACTAGCACTACTGTACTGCTCGCCATAGCTTATATTTCCAACTCGTAACCTTGAAAGCGGTTGACTGCGATGATTGGCTGTAATGTAAAAATAATTCATTGACTAACAGGCAGACATGCCATTGTTGGCTGTCACGGGGTACCTCATATATTCCTCAAAATAATTACCCAAAGCCTTCCGGCGTAGGTAATGAACCACAGGTCATTTGAACTATTGCGCGTGTGCTAAGTAGAAGGCCATTAGGTTAGTCACCCCATGGGTTACTGTCCTCGGTGTTGGGGTCATTCTACTATGGAAACATTATCACGTAAAACTGATAAATGACGAACAATCTCATCCCTATGTTTTAATAATGAAATACACTCCCGTGTCAGATTTACGATCCGAGTGCTCATTAATCCTACCGATGATGATACCATATTTGCACACGCCTGTTACGTTGCAATGTCACTGCACAGATGTGCGACTTGCACACGTTTATCTGTTTGAACTGAGGGTTCACGGGTGTCTTTATATTACCATCCTATGAGTCATGGCTTTTTCCAAGAAGACTGCCTCCTTTGTTCTCACTTCTCAGAATTTTCTATGAGTCATCGCCTTTAACCTTCATTTAGTTCAGGTAAGCTCCTTAGTTTCGACAACAACCACCCGGTTGCAGAATAGTAATTGTGTAATTATTAAACAGTATAAAGTTTCGATGAGAGAGACATGGAGAAATTAATTTTTAATCATGCTTATGCCCTCCGGAGACACTCTATGCGGCATTTTCATTTATTGTAATTTTTGGTTGGTTTTTGGGGACGTTAAACGGGGAAGGTATAGATTTGCGTCTATTAATTGCACATGTGAAACTCCCGCATGAAATGGTGTATATAAATATGTTTCTAAATCTTTGTTTAGCGATGCAAATAGAGGTCTAACTGAGAAAGAATTTTATTCAAAAATGCATACGGTCATTTTTTCAATAAATATTTTTATACAATAACTAAAAATTGCATATTTCTATGAGCTGCTGCACGCGCCTCCCCTGTAACTTTAGAAGGGGCGCCTGCAATTATTCATCCTTGAACGCCTTGTAATTATAAGACTCTGATGTATCAATGAAAGTCATGAAACTTTATAGTTGGCATTTGCATGTGACAATTTTTTATGCTAGACATTTTTCACATGTATGCAAAACGCCTCTTAAATCCCGAACAGTGCAAAGGGCTATTTTGATCAGCACTTTTGTGTTGCACATCGCCTTCCAAGAACTAAAATAGTACAATGTACAAAGTGTCTTTTGTTTTGACCGTTGTTCGCAGGAAATTGCAGGAGCAGTTCGTATCTTCACGTCATCGCCCGATTTTCCTCAAACGCAATTTTTTCTAAGAACACCATTTGAAATTGCATTAAAGCATCGAACTAACTTACAGAAATAAAACATGCTACGTAAACGTATGTAAAATGTTGGGCAGATATGAAAGTCAATTTCGAAGAAACGAGAGAAGCTTTGCTTATATCATTTTTAAATCATGCTAAAGAAGGCAGTATTTCCTACAAAAATGTCCTTGATGCAATCTGGTTGCGGTTAAAAATTGTTGGACTTGAAACGCCGTTCCAGGAAAAAATTTGAGTCTTCTTAGCCTTGTAATTAAAATCGTACCTAGTAATTTTTCGCTAAAAATCCCCATAAATGCCTGTATTATAATTGAAAATAGATCCAATGCTTTGGAAATGTTTCATTAGTGAGATTATGAATGCGATTAACGTTATCGCAATTCTCTCATTTCCATTAGTTATTTTTAGGAGTAGGTACGTTCTTGACGAACACAAAGTCTTTTGCGTTCCCAATAAGTTTACTAAACTGTAACAACGAGAAAACTATTGGATATGACTGAAGGAGGAATGTCATTTTTAATCGCGCAAATTGTTATCCACACTGTTAACGTAAAATGCTTGTAGCTAAACATGTCCTCAGTGTGATAAATAGGTGCATTTTTTTACCTCGAATCGTAACTATAAGCTAATAACGTATTAGCATTGAGTAAAGAATTTATTTATTACTCAATGGTATTAGGTACCTCTGAATGGAATTAATACCTTCAAGCGATAGGCGATGTTATAATTAATTAGATGTGTTTAATTAAGACATAATTTTTTATACAAAATGAAACCAAATTATTAAAATTTGCTTTAGGTACACATTAAGTAAAGTTATTTTTA